CTGGGTACCACTTAATGGTTAAAGTGAAGACCCAGTTTCCACACCCAAGACACTGCAGTTCAAAGCACACAGTGCTACCTGCCCTGGCCTGTGCTCTCTCAGCTCCCCTGAGCTCAGTTCCAACAGGGGAGTCTGGCAGGACATCGGCAATCTCCCTCTCCACTTAGAAGGGCTGTCCTGAGTATAGGGCTGGCTCTTCAAGGCATAAGAGGACAATTTAAGATGGAAAAAAAAAAGGAGAGTGCCAATTCCCACAAAATAAATATTACAGAATGTAACGGCTCGAAGGAAAGAACAGGAAATGCTTGTAGATGAGGTGACAGTTGAGATGAGTCTGAGAATTTAACAGTAAAAACCTTGGAAGGAATGAGAAGAGGCATTCTGGGCAAAGCTAACAGTAAGAAGCAGGAACCGGGCTGTTTGGGGAAAAGGAAGGAAGAAAGTTTTAGCTGGAAAGTAGGCTACAGGCAGAGGATCGTGGGAGATGAGCTCAGCTGGGGCAGTTAGGGTGCTGGGTCACACTGGCTACATGAGGAGCCTTGAATGACAAAATACCAAATTGGTCAGTAGCAAAGAACTGGCCGAGGCTCTCCAAATGAAAGTGGAGAGAACCAAGGCATGCTTTGGAAACCTGTCCCTGGTAGCAGACTGGACAGAAATAACTATGGGAAAGGGTATTACAGAGCCCCGGGAGCTGAATTAATAGCAGTAGCTAACATCACTGAGGGCTTACCGTGTACCAACCCTGCTGAACTTGCAAGATCTGCTCACAATTCCCTCAGGTACACTTCCCATCCATTTTTCAGAAAAGGGAACCAAGGCACAGAGAGGTTAAGAAGTGTGCCCCAGATCACGCAGCCCGTTGGGTGGAGCGGAGGTCTACCTACAGCTAATGCAGCTGGTCTGACTCCAGTCCAGGGCACTGGACCACTAGGCGAACCTGCCTCTGAGTCAGGGCCTGCGCCCTGCACTCTGATGTCTCAGCTGAACTGAGAAATGGGGGGAATGGAGAGGAAGACAATGGTACAAGGGACACTGCAGAGATGGTATGCCTGTTACCTACCAATTGAGGTGAAGAACTGGAGAAAGTTTGAAATAAGTCTCCTCAGGGTTGCTGCAAATCAAAGCAGATCTGCTCCTGAGCATTTACCAAATCCTGCAGCAAATGATCCTACACATGGACAGCTGCTTGCAGAAACAGCTTAGTTTTCAACAGTTGGAGCCCACTTGCTAAGCAAGCTGAACACCCGAGTTGCCAGGAAAAGGGAGATGGTGACTGTGTAACAAACTGAATTGTAACCCTCAAGACCACATGTTGAAGTCACAACCCTCAGCACCTCAGAAGGTGACCTTATTTGGAAACTGAAGCACTGTAATGTCATTAGTGAAGATGAATGGGGGGGGCCCTGATCCAACAGGACACTGGTGTCCTTATAAAAAAGGAAATTTGGATACTGACGTGCACACAAGGAGAATGCCATATGAAGATGAAGGCAGAGATTGGGGCGAGGGTTGCCAGAGGCTGCCAATGAAGTGCCAGAGGCCAGGGCCTGGAACAGCTTCTCTCTCAGCCCTCGGAAGGAGCCAGCCCTGTCAACACCTTCACCTCCAGAACTGGGAGGCAGTACGTTTCCATTGTTTAAGCCACCCGGCCTGTAGAACTTTGTTTCGGTAGTCCTGGGACACTAATACTGTGGCCTGTGTCACCCTTTTCTATCCAAGACCATAGGGTCACCTTGACTGCGTCCCTTTAGTAAGCAGAACGAAGAGCCTGCTGTGAAACTCTGTAGTGCTCGCCAGACTATTTCTGTATCCTAGGTGTGAGTTAAAAGCAGGCAACTGTTTGAAATCCCATCTATCAGCTGCCTAGGCATCAGGGACTGAGATTTTGAAAGGAAAAACAATTTTTACTTTAACAATCAAGGGCCTTTCTCTTCCCTTTCCTCTCAGCAGCAAGTATTGATGGTACCAGAGTCTTCCTGTGACCTAAAGAAACACAGTCCAAATGCACTAAGTAAACCAAGAGGTCCTCCTGGACCCCTCGCCCAGCAGAGGGTGCCCATCCCAGGGAATGAAACCACATCAAGACGACCACAGCCTTCTCAGTTTCAAAGTGGCAGCAGCTCCCTGAAATACTGAGGCTGGCAGTGAGCAGTCACCCATCTTCAAATAAGCTCACATTCAATTATGCAAAAACTGTTCATTTCTTTGTTTCACCCACGCATTACTCTGAAGAACGAGTGCTTCATCCCTCGTGAGTGAATGGCTGTGGTCACCAAGGGAAGCATGTCTGCCCTGGGGAATTCCGGATTCTGTTTTCAGATAGTGATTGGACCCGCTAAGAAGTGAAACCAAAGCAGTACTTCTTTTGACACTTGGAAAATCCCCTACTCCAGGATATTTTTGCACTTGAACAGAAAGTATGAAAAACTGTACTATAAAACCAGGGTTTCCTACAACTCAAATGTAAGCTACCAGAATGATCTATTTAAAAACATAACAAACCTATGATGGGTCTATGGGGCAGAGGACTCCCCCTCTTTGAAGTTAACAGTAACAGTTATTAAGCACTTAAGACGTGACGGGCACAGTTCTAAGCCTGTTGTGGGAATAAATTATCTTTCATAACCCTATGATGTTGGCACCTTTCTTATTCCCAGTGTGCAGGTGAGGAAACTGAAGCACAGATGGGTTGAGAAACAGGCCCAAGGTCACAGAGCTATAAGTGGTAGAGCTGGGACTCAAAACCAGGCAGTCTGACTCCAACTCTCCCCACCCCCTTGACAAACAAACAACCAAGCCAGACAGACAGATAAATAAAAGACAATAAAGTGAGTGGGGACAGGTTAAGGAGGGTGGGTTGAGGATGGAGGCGAAGTTAAGAGAACACCAGTTACAATCCAGACACTGAGCTGGCACGTCACACATGCTTTTCCCATTTAATTGGCACAAAACCCCCGAGGTAAGCATTACTCTCCCACTGATGACACACTGAGGCTTGGAGTGACCTGGATGAGGGCCCAATAGTAAGTGATGCCCCTAAACCCAGGTTTGCTGATTGCAAAGACCAATGTCATTTTTCCAGTCTATTTTCTCCCAGGGTCATGGCTCCAAACTGTAGCCTCGGCATTACAGATGGTATAATCTGCTTCTAAATGTCAATCCAGCATTGAAGAGCAGTGGGGTCAGCTGCATGCTTGTTCAGAGAACCTGAGTACAGTGCAGGTGCCTAATCAATGCACCAGTTTGCGAGTCAGGAAGCTGGGGTTTTAGTCCCACTTCCAGCACTCACGCTGTGTGGTTTTAGCCAAGTCCCCTACCCTCGCTGGGCCTCCATTTTCCTTACGTACAAATTGGATATATAGCTGCCTGGCCTGTGGACCTCACAAGGTTGATGTAAAAAAGGCATTACCAATAAAAGTGAATTGGCTGTGAAAACTGTAAGGTGCTCCACAGCTGATCATTGCTGAAATTAACATAACCAGGTCATCGTCACACCTACCAAGGTTCAGCAGGTCCACAAATGCCAGGTGGTGGACACTGCCAGAATAGCTTCCAGTGAACCTCACCCTCTCCCCTAGGAAAGCTGGGCTCAAGGACTCCAAGGTCTGGCTGGGCCTAGGCCCCGGAGCTTCCCCCAAGGCAGGCTTGCCTGTCTAAAAGGGTATCAGCCAGGTGATGCAGGGAAGGGGAGGGAAGTCCTTGCAGAGGGAACTGTCTCGCCTCCCGCCAGGTCCCTGTATACTTTGCCATTTGGTACAGCACCCAGCATTGGGTTTCACCTGTATGTTACAGGATCGCAGCACGCACCTCACCCTAGGAGGTAGCGGACTGTGGTGAGGACCCCCATCCGATGAGTGGGTGGGAAGAACCAAGACTCCCACCAACAGGCCACCCCACTAGTTCCCGCCCAGGAAGAGGGAGGAATCAGATTTGCATAACAGTGAATCACCGAGCACTTGGGCACAATGACCCTCCCGGAGAGGGTGGAGAAGCTCGTCTGACAACTGCCTACACAAACGACAATTCCGAAGAGCAGCAAACAAACCAGTCTAGCCCCAATCCCCATTTTGCATAAGATTGCACTCCACAAAAACATCCAAGGAACACTTGTTGATCGATACCAATTGTTAACACTGAGGTTTGGGCCAGGAAAGAATTAAAAAGGTCCCTTTGAAGGAACTTTGGATACGGTGGCTTTGTGGAAATTGGTATTAAGTGTCCTTAGACTGGAAGGGGCAGCTGGGAGCCACACATCCTTCAATCCACTGATCTTGGTTTCCAAAGAAAGTCAAGCAAAGGGTTTGAACCTATAAACCAAAGGTAACTTGTTAGTCACTAGGTGACCGTCAGGATCCTGTTTTATGCTAATAAGCGATTACACTTGTTCTAAGAGGGAGGCGTGTGGTTAGCGATGGGGAAGGTGAATCACCGCGGGACGGTCAGCCAGCTGCTAGCCTCGGCCTGGACACTGTCCACCGCCCCTGCATCCAGGAAAGCAGCAAAAACGAACTGCAACTGGGTTAAAAATCCGGGCGGGGGCCGTCGCGTTAGGCCGGGACCGTGGCTCTTAAAGAGAAACGTGTGTCCTCCCGGCGGCCAAGGCCTCCTTCGGGTCCTCCGAGTCGGGCACGGGTTCCAGAAAAAAAATGTCTCAGTGTACACGAGGTACTGAAAGAAGGCAGTGGGCAAGAACATGACCAGCGTCCCTTCTCCCCTCCCCAGCCCCGAACGACCCTCGATAGCCGTCACGCACAGGAAAGGTGTCCCCTACAACGAAACGGGTGACCTCACCCACTTTTCTCAAAACCCTAAAAGCCACAGCGACAGCACGAATAGCCTCGTTCAGAGTCACAAAAAGGAGACGCGCAGAGGTGTCAGCGAACCTCCAACCACCCAGGGCTGCGGGTGGAAGGTCAGCGGCGTGTCCCGTCCCCTCCCCGCCGGGGCTCCCGGCCAGCTTGCCCCGCACCGCGCTCGCGTCCTCGCTCTCCTGTTACCTCGCTCGCGCGTCCGCAGGCGTCCGGCACTTGCGCCGTCGGTTCCGCCGGTGTCCTCTCCTCCTCCCCTGCGGCCAAGGGGCTACTCGGAGCCGCTCGGGGGTCCCCGCCGCCCCCCAGCGCAGCCTGGCTGCTGCCGTCCGCGCTGGCGCCGACTCCCCCCGCGGACGAG